CTCTCAGATCTCAAGGCTAATTTTACTTGCAAGGCTGTTCCCAAAATGCAATCGGAGCTTACATTAAGTATTGAGCAGCAAACTTGTGTTTTTCCAAAGTGATGAAGCTTTTGCATCTCATTGTACTAACTTAAATTGCATATCACGGCAGACATCTCAAAATACATAGTCTTCTGGGGGCTAAGCATATATTAATACATTTTGGTAGAGAGGAATATAGGCCTACTGTCATATAGGTTATGTTATCGGGCATCCTTCTAATTCCCTTGAACAACCAAGATTGAACTTTTGAACTCTTTATAATTTCTATTATCTAGTCCAGTTAAAGTCCAGGGGAGGAAGCCCCATCATAGTAAAGAGTATACGAATGTGATGTGTGTAGTTCTTCATAGCCTCTTCATTTTGCTCTCAAAGTACACGGAATTGATGGATTTTTAACAGAATGTAGAAAAAAATTCTCCCGGGGGGGCATGCCCCCGGACCCCCTAAAGGGGCTGTGTTCCCCTTGGGGCTAAGCCCCCCTTGTTCTTGAAACCTAGTGACGCCCCTGGACACAATATTGACTTCCCTTGAGGGTTTAACCTCCTTACTAGGTGCGGTCAAAAACCATCATCAAAATAGGACATTTGAAATTCAGATTGAAAAACACCATCATTGACTAAAACAGAACAAAACTAACTAAATAAATAAATATGAAGTATGAGTATGAAAACAAACATGTAAATAATACGGACTTTCTCACACAAGTGTCTCTCGGGGCCCACCAGCCAGTAACTACTACGACTAGGTACTTAATACGGGGTTTCTGACAGTAATATGTTCCGTTACAACGTAACAACAAAAATGTGCTTTATAGCTGCTATGGGCCCATGCCAGTAATCTGCCTTCACTTTTGCATTTTTGATTATGTGCAAATCAAATCATCATCGTGTTCAAGACTGGCGCAAATCTAGTGGGGCGCGAAGTGTAAATCTGCACAAAGGCGTGTTAGGTGGTAGTAATTTCGCAGACGCGCACAAACCACTGTAGAAAAAAGGAGCCGGCTTTATTCGCTAGCAATTAAAATGGCTCCTCGCATTCCCATCAAATGTTGCACATCTCGCAAAGATACCTGCGCATATTTGTGGTTCCGCACCTGCAGATTCATCTGCGGATTTTTTTCACAATAGTTTTTAAAATAAAGTATATTTGAATATGTTTTGGGGCAAACAAGGATGTGAGCCTTGCGCTTACACAAACGTTAGGGTACAGCAGCATTTATGCATGTGCTGTCTACGAAAAAGAGCCCTCAAACTTGATTAAAATTAAAAGGAGAGTCCAATCTTTGCGTGAATGTATTCTGTTATAATAAATATGAATAAATAGGCTGCGATTGGCTGATGGCCAGTTCGGGGTCTATCCTGCTGCTGACCCGAAGTCAGGGATTGACTCCAGCACATCAGCTATCCTGATGGTGATAGGCGGTACAGTCAAAGAATGGATGGTTACATTGGTTCATTTATTCAAAATTCCATCATGCACCCCATAAGATGGAAGGTAGCACTTGTAGGTAACTCGTTACGGCCTGCGGAGTCTCTGTGAGGCTTAAGATCTGACTCCGTGCTGTCCAATGCAATTACGAAAATCAAAGCATGGCGTCCAAAATTAATCACATTCTGCGATATGACATGTCACTGTTCTCTGTAAATTTCTGTCAAACTAAATGTACACAAAGTAAATGCTGTAAACTTGGTTGTTTTTCAAGCAGTGTTTGGGAAACACTGACCTTGAATAAAACTAATTATCCAGTGTGACCAGCAGAGAGCGCACTGGGGCCACTTTTCAACTTGTTGAGACCAAGTGTGAAGTACAGTATAAATTGAATGGCATGTTTTAAATTTAATAAATATTATAAATTGATTAAAATCGACTTTCATGTGTGTTTTAATTGTCCAAGTCATTCTCAACTTACGGTCATAATGTCAATTTTTAAAAATTGCTTGCTAGTGGAGGCCCTGTTTGGAGACTGATTGGCAGGTCTGCCTCACAGTGCAATGGTCTTGAATTCGAATCTGGCCCTGGGCTTCCTGTGTGGAGTTTGCATGTTCTCCCCGTGCCTGCGTAGGTTTTCTGGGGTTTCCTCCCACATTCCAAAAACATGCAGGGTAGGTTTATTGAACACTCAAATTGCTCCTAAGTGTGATTATGAGCACGAATTGTTGTTGTCTACGTGTCCCCTGTGATTGGCTGGCTCCAGCATGCCCGCGGCCTTTGTAAGGAAAACCAGATCAGATAATGCAGTGGTGCCAAACTCAGTTTTGTCGCGGGCCACATCATAATTACGGTTTCTCTTGGGAGGCCATTTTGACTGTGAATTTTGGAGAACCATATACATTTTTAACCACCTCTACATATTACATACACAGCGAACAACAAATAAATGGATAACTAGTTTCGACATCAGAAGTCAAGAATAATGGATCGTTCAAACATTGTGATTATTACATTATGTATGACAATTCGAAATTGTGTTTCAGACTTTATCAAGCACCGTGGAAATTGACATGCTTGAATTGCTTTCGTGGGCCAGATAAAATGATGTGGCGGGCCAGATCTGGCCCCCAGGCCTTGACTTTGACACCTGTGAGATAATGGATGGATGGATGGATGCTTGCTATTTATTTTTATTTTTTTAATGGCTGTGCAGATCCTCAGTCAACCAGGTCGTGGTAATCCACAGAAGTTGAATCAAGACAGCTGGACTTTTCTTGTTTGTTGAGTGGAACCACTATTTCTGTAATTTACTCACCAAAGGACGTTAACTTTCAAATTTAGTTCCGAGCAGACGTGAGCGACGTCATCGTCATGCTTGCTGTGATCATGACATCTCTGAACTGGTAAAATGAGACTTAGAACCGGTCTTATTTCATCTGTAACTGCTTCAAACAAACAAAAAAAAAAGCGTACGTGAGAACTGAGGAAAAGATTTTCGGCATACTTACAACATATCTACCAAGCTCATTCTTTGTCTTTGTGACAGGCATTTTTAAAACATACATCTGACTATGGAGAGTTGTTTCCTTCAAATATTTGACTTTAGCCCAAAATTCTGTTATGTTATGAGCATGACGTTCTTTTGCTTGTTTTTGTCTTGTTGATTTTGTTTTATTTCATGTGTTCTTAAACTTGAAATTTTACTCAATTTTATAACCATAAATCAGGACTCAGTGTGGAAGCCAAACACTCCTTTAAATCCCTGCCTGCTTTAAAACCCGAGGTTACATATCCTGACAACTGAATTTTGGTACAGCTTTCAAAACTTGAGACCGGCCTTTGAAACCTTTGACAGACAGCCAGCTCTATAGGAAGAGTCCTGCTAGTTAAGAATTCCGTTCATTTATGGAAGCCACTGTGCTCATTGGAACCTTCAAAGCAGCAGATTTTTTTTTCTGTACCCTTTCCCGGAGTTGTGCCTTGAAATAATCCTGTCGTGGAGTTCTCCAGACAATTCCTTGCATTTGATGTTTGGCTTCTGCTCTGACATGCACTGTGAGACCTTATATAGAGAGTTGTTTGTCGTTCCAAATCATGTCCAATCAACTGAATTTATCGCAGGTGGAATATACATTTATTCCATTTTGGAATGAGGCTGTAACATAAAATGTGGAAAAAGTGAAGCGCTGCCAACACTTTTCCGGAAGCACTGTATGTGCTGCTCGTTACAAAGTGTTTTCAGAAGTCTGCCTGGCACCGATGTGTGTCGGCGTACTTTCAGGTGTTTGTGAGGAAATGTGCTGTCTGAAGGAGAAGACCCTCCCAGCAGCCCGTGAGGTCATTTCGAGTATAGAACGGATCTGCCAATTATGACGAAGTTAGCCGGCCTCTTGTCAGCCTATAAAAGCAGCAGCAGTCCAAAAGTTACGCAGGATTTACACAGAGCCTCTGATGCTTGGTAGGTTGTGCTGTTTCCACTACAAAAAAAAGAAATAAAAAAAATAATAATTTGTCATGTTGCTTACTTTCAGGTACAAAAGAGAATGTCTTGGACTCCTCTCCGTTCACTTATTCTGTTGGCTTGTTCCTTGACTCCAGTTCTCAGCCAAAGTGAGTATGATACTTTCGTTACACGTGGACATTTAGGTGCATGCTGTGACTAAACAAATCATGAATGATATGTTTGTTGTTCTCACGTATGTTTACCTTGGTGGTAATTATTTACCAGACAACGAGTCCTCTTTGTGCGGTCATCTCTTCTGCTGTCCATTTTCCCGTAACTCAATGCTCTCTTCCCATAAACAGACAGTTGCAAGGAAAGATGTGGCAACGAGTACTACCGAGGTTACCTGTGCCAATGTGACTACAACTGCATGGCCTACGGCGAATGCTGCCTTGACTTTGAATCTCAATGCACCACAAGTAAGGTTGAACCCTCAACAATTGTTTTGCTGAGAGGCAGACTAGGTGGATATTTGATCATACTCTCAATTGATGAAATGATGGTTAATTTATAAGCTTTAAACAATATACAGCCACTCAAATTTAGTCTCACTGGTCATAATATTGGCAAAGTGCAACCAGAAAAAAAAAGTAAACTTTCGAAAATGTGCTATGTTTTATTGTTACCCTTGTAAAGTCCCGTATTTATAATATTTTATAATAATGACAATAAGTACCAGCATACCGGATCTTATTGGTATCTACTGGTGTACCTAAAGTGTCCGCTGTTGTGCTAATGGTCCTCAAGAGTAAAAATAATGTCACTGGATATGTACGACAGTCATTTGGTGTAGCTCACTTTGCAGGTTTGTCATGTTGCATTTATCTACCACAGAAAACTCCTGTAAAGGTCGATGTGGGGAAACATTCAAGAGAGGCCAACTGTGTAGCTGTGACTCTGATTGTGTTAAATTCAAGCAGTGTTGTCCAGATTACAAGATCCACTGTGATGCAAAAGGCAAGCTTTGTCCAGTCTTATTCAGCATGATCAGCGTAGCGTTTCTCATCCACAAGACACAGCAGTAAACACGGTGCATTTGCTGTGACTTGAATTCATGACTTTGAGAAACATTAACTTGCATGAACGAAACAACAACATAAAGAATTAGGACAGGCAAGAAAGGTAGAAATAGTCGTGCAGAGCAAAGCACTTCTACCTGACAACAAGCATGTAGCATGCAATGCATCCACACCAACACATTGCGTTGATACAATTTTCTGTTTGAACAATGAGAGGAACAATGAGAGGAAAACAATGGATCATCCAATGCATCAGCGCCAGGGACGAGTAGTACATGTGATAATGTAGTTGCTAAAAATCCCAAAGGTATTTTTACCTTGACAAAAGGCTTGACTCAAACAAAATATACAGTGTTTGTGTAATGTAAATACATTGTTTGTAGTACTGCATATGGTGATCTGGCTAATATTTTTCATCACTATTCCAACAGAGGAAACTGCAAATGAAGCAGAAGACCCGTTTTTGCCACTCAGTGGGGGAAACACTGAAGGTAACAATTTGAAATTTTGTCCAATATTCCAGGCGTGAATCTCCACTTTGGCATTTCTGTGTTGAGTTTGCATGTTCTCTCCTTATTTGGGTTGTCCCTGAGTATCGCCAGCTTCCTCACACATCCAAGAAACCTTTCATGCTTCCATATAAAGCAGTGGTTCTCAATTATTTTCTGTCATGCCCCCCCCCCCAAGAAGAAGAAAACATCTCGCCCCCCCCCTCGTAACATAAATACCTGTAGTATCATTTGTCTATAAAATTCTTATAAGTACACCTCTGCATAACACTGTATCCTTTTAACGTGTAAGAGAACAAAAAAAAGAAATATGGACCAACTTACAACAAAGAATAGCTTTATTAACTGTAACAGAAAAGATTTAAAGTGCATCTGAAATTCAAAAGCAAAATGAAATCTCACCATACGATACAGAAAAATAAAATTCCATAAAATCAATCAATAACAATGCATTCAAACTGATCACCAACATTAATTCAGGAGCACAATCTTAATAAAACCTTTAACCTGCAAAACAAAAATATATAAAACAATTTCTGCTGATTTTTATTTTTTTTATCAAAGATGATGTCTGGATTAATGGCAATTTAATAATATTTAAAATATTCAGCACGTTTTCTCTGAAAAAAAAACTCTTATCAATGGGATTGGGGTGTAATGTCTTTAAGTGACGCCTTAATAAAATTCATTTGGCTTCATGCAGTCGGCTGTCTTTCCTCCCACCGCAGTCACAGTGAAGCCAAGCGCTCGCTACATACGCTTCGTAATATTTCCTCGTCTTCGCTTTCGGTAGACCTTCTCATTTCTCCGTCGCTCTCTCCGTCTGTCGACACTTCATACTCATACTCTGTGCCGTGTGCAAAGCTTGCATGCTCAGTGCGAACAAAACACCGAGCGAATGCTCCCTGCGCACTCTGCCAAGAAGAGCGCCACTGCCCTCTAATGTAGTCGACGTGCAATTGCACTTTATTCTAGGACAGTTAAAAATAAATATATAAATAAATAAATAAATAAATAAAATTAAAAAGCATGTTGCCCAAGGCCAAACGTGCCCCCCTTGACGGACCCTCGCGCCCTCCCAGGGGGGCGCGCCCCACTATTTGAGAACCACTGATATAGAGTGTGAGCGGGAATGGTTGCTTTTCTGTATGTGACTGGCGGCCAGTCCAGGGAGCTCTCTGCCTCTCACCGAAAGTTAGCTCGGATAGACTTCTTTTCTTAATAGATCAGATGAAAAATTGTTGTCAAACTGCATGTTGTTTGACCTATAACCCAAATGAAGTCAAGTTCTATTGATGATGGATAGATGGGTGAAAAGATGGTTTGTCCTCCGAAATACGCTTGGGCTCATGTGGTTTTAATATGAGCGAGCCTTAATTATTAAAATGATGTTCCTGAGCAATTGTGGTTCTTTTGCTGTGGTTTGGTCACCAAGCAGAACGGGCCAAGAAGCACAAGCTTGAGTGGCCAAAAGTAACACAAGAGAGCAGTGCTGTCATAGTGTGGGAGGCTAATGGGCACAGCTTCACATGCAAGAGAGAGAAAGCAAAAGAGGATGGCAGGATTTAGGCAATAACAACAAAAGTATTGGAACATGCCGCATAATCTGATAACTGGTAATTTACCAGTCAGGGATGGATAAAACCACTAGTTTTGGGGAGGGCTTTTTCCTTTTCCGCATACCTGCACCACCAGTATGCAATGCAAGGTCCCATTAAGGTATGCTTGGATGTTTTTGGTGTTGAAGAAGTGGTCGAGTTCAATATCAGTGAACCTCTGCCCTCACAAACGTTCTGGATGGATGGACCAAATTTTCCACAGACATACTCCAACATACTCCAAGAGTAGATCAAATCCATATGTTCTTCCATGTTTTGCTCCCTGACAGTTAATAGCCTGGGAGTTCCATTACGTCTTCCTAAGTGTGAATGTATTTTGAAAGTATTCATTCAGGCGTAGGAGTTTAGACATGAAATGTGTATTCTGCTCATATTTAGTCTAGTAAAACCTCTGCCGTGGTCTTTTGTGTTTCTTAACAATATTTGATGAAAATAATGCACTGAAGTGTGTCTTCTGCCATATTTAGTCTAGCCTGTAAAACATTCTCACGCCCGTAGTAAACCAGGCGCGTCCTTGGAGCCATCTGTTAGCCTTGACACACTACTTCCTGGAGACTTTGTGGAGACGGGTTGATACAAGCAAAGAATCGGTTTAGGAAACAAGTGAACATGGCGGAAGACACACTTCAGTGCATTATTTTAATCAAATATTGTGAAGTAACACAAACGACCACAGCAGAGGTTTCACTCGACTAAATATGAGCAGAATACACACTTCAACATCTGCATCATTTGTTTCTTAATTTTCGATGACATCTAAGAATGAAGTTGGTGAGTCCAATATCATTTCCACAAGATGTTGCCAATGATGGTGAGCTGTTACGTTGGGGAAATAAATGAGATTTTTCACATGTAATCTGACATGAAATTGACATTGAAGTGTAACAGTGTCTACACGCAATGACATTGTCCACATAGGTACGGACACCGAGACCATTCCCAGCGATTACCAATCCAACACTCCAGATCGTATGGAAAGTGATATGCCAGACAGCACTGGCAGTTATGCGTCATCTCCATTTGAGCCGCTGGAAGCTATCCCCACTCAAGACACCTTGATCAGAGACACTCTAAAGGCGAGAGCAGAAGCAGTTCCATCGGTGACAAGCCCTTCACGAGATGTGGTCAAGTCAACCACCGTGGACAGGGCTGATGGAGTCACTTACACTGAGAGTGAAGGTGTGTAAAGATTCCGGTATGATGGGCTGGAACTTGAGGTTGATTTTGATCTTCATAGGAGTAGAGAAGATGGATTTGCACCTCAACGGATGAAGCCGCATTCGGTAGAGAAAATCAGCTATTTTAGCTGAATCTCAAATGAACGTTATCTGACAGTCATAGGAGGTCAGGTCAGGATCTGGAATCTTTGAAATTGAATTAGTGAACTACTGAAACTTTACATGTCAGAAATTCAGTATACTTGAGTTACTGGACTACTGTAAATACCCTCATGACAGATGAGTCAATCTACTTTATTTGTTGTTCTTGCGCTTTCAGATAGCAGAAGAAATCCTACCACCGTGTCAGACTCCAGAACAACATTTCCACAAGCCACCATGGGAGCTAAGCGAGTTTCCAACCAACCCAGTTGGACTTCAGCATCCCAAGCAGAACCTTCTCCCACAGGTGACAACAGACCTTCACAACCAGAATATCCCTTTCAAGAGATGTCCACACCTCGACTGCCATCAGAACACACACAAGGGTCATCCAGATATTCAGATTCACCAGATCCTTCACGAGGGTCTTCCACATCTTCAGCGCAACCAAAGGCTTCACAAGAGTCATCCACACCTTCACACCCACAAAAAAACTCACAAGAGTCTTCTACATCTTCAGGACCACCACCAGAAACATCATCCAGACTCACAACCAGAATATCCCTTTCAAGAGATGTCCACACCTCGATTGCCATCAGAACACACACAAGGGTCATCCAGATATTCAGATTCACCAGATCCTTCACGAGGGTCTTCCACATCTTCAGCACAACCAAAGGCTTCACAAGAGTCATCCACACCTTCACGCCCACAGAAAACCTCACAAGAGTCTTCTACATATTCAGGACCACCACCAAAAACATCACATGGTTCATCCAGACCTTCACAACCAGAATATCCCTTTCAAGAGATGTCCACACCTCGATTGCAAACAGAACACACACAAGGGTCATCCAGATCTTCAGCTTCACCAGATCCTTCACAATGGTCTTCCACATCTTCAGCACAACCAAAGGCTTCACAAGAGTCATCCACACCTTCACGCCCACAAAAAACCTCACAAGAGTCTTCTACATATTCAGGACCACCACCAAAAACATCACATGGGTCATCCAGACCATCACAACCAGAATATCCCTTTCAAGAGATGTCGACACCTCGATTGCCATCAGAACACACACAAGGGTCATCCAGATCTTCAGATTCACCATATCCTTCACAATGGTCTTCCACATCTTCAGCACAACCAAAGGCTTCACAAGAGTCATCCACACCTTCACGCCCACAAAAAACCTTACAAGAGTCTTTTACATCTTCAGGACCACCACCAGAAACATCACATGGGTCATCTAGACCTTCACAACCAGAATATCCCTTTCAAGAGATGTCCACACCTCGACTGCCATCAGAACACACACAAGGGTCATCCAGATCTTCAGATTCACCAGATCCTTCACGAGGGTCTTCCACATCTTCAGC